AAGAAAAGTAACAAGTGTTACGGAAAAAAATTCAACAATTTAAACTTTCCAATTCTCTATTCAACTACTATCTATCTATCTATCTATCTTTCGGATAAAAAATTTTTTTTTTTTAATTAGAAAAAGAAAATGTTACAAAAAAAATTTATCCATTATTATTAATAAATTACATTGTCCCAAAAGTTCTTTTCGCATTATTTGCACGCATATAGCTTGAGAAATGTGATTTATTTTTGAACGATATTGTTCATTTTTAATTATCAAGTATCTTCAAAAATCTTTTTCAAAATAAATCAATTAATAAAGATTAGAAGATTAACGAGTTAAAAATATATCGATTAAATTATTCTTTTGTAATTACATATCAAATAATCAGAATAATTAAATCATCAAATGATTTAATGATTCTTTATTATTACATTAAGTATTATTATAATATTATAATATTACCTTTAGTATTTTTACTTGAGTCAAAATCAAAGTCATTCTGTAAGAACAGTAAATATTCCAAAGAAATGAACGCGTATAAGATAAATATAAAATATATAAAAATTTATAGGTAATAAAATATTATTAAAATGTAACTTATTCACTATTTTTAAAAAAATGAAATAAATGTTTTCGAAAATAGATCGTAAAAAAAAATGAAAAGAAGTTTTGCGATAATTTAATATTGCTATAAAGAAAAGAAAATTTTATAAATCAATATATTTCGCGTCAAAAAGAGAACGAAAGAACAACAGATGAATTATTGCTATCACAACAATTCATGAACCGATTTGCATCGCCAAATCGTCAAAATTTGCATTTTCAACGGTTAGTATTTTTGAAAATTATTTAAAAATAATATACATTTATTCTGAAAAAATATATGCTTTGTTATCTTGTGTTATTGACACATCCTTATAAGGAAATGTAATCGGCTTATGAATTAATAAAGATTACCTATAATATTCACTTACCAGCACAGAGATTTGAGAGATCCATTCAGGTTCGTGTTATTTCTCCTTTCGATTTCCTGAGTGGTTTTCTGGTATTTCTTGTAGCAGAGCTCGTATTTAGGTTGCACTTTTTGCATGCATGGCGCGTGTTGAAGAAATTCTGTAAGCCAAGGGGGAAAAAACCAAGTGAATGAAATTGTCGCTGTTGAATTTTCGCATGAAACATAAAAAAATTGCATCACAAAATTTTTATCAAAAATATCACTCAATTTTTGATTTTCAATAATTCTTCTTCTTAATGAAATTGTAATCTTCGAGTCTAAATCAATATGAAATGTAAGACTAAATAAAGATGATCCAGTTGAATTTGAAAATATTTTGATGGAAAGAATAAATTTGAAATTCAAAATTGAGTAAAAATTAAGTACTTAATTAAGAATATTTCAATTTATTGAAATACGAATACGATCATAAGAATCGAATTTCAATCATTATCAGTGATAATCAACGTTAATATAAATTTCAATAAAACCGAGATTAAATATCAAAATATAATAATTAAATGCATAATATCAAGTCTTCTTCTTTCAACATTGTTTTGGCAAACAACCGTTCCTATATTAATGGATGTTAATTTTAAAACGGTAGCACATCATATTTTCATTCTTTTCCCATGGAACATCGAACGAAAACTTGAATAAATATTAATAACAGAACTGCATGCAACTCAGCAATGGTAAATCGAACAGGGCACTGTTTCTGTCGATTATCAATATTTACTTATAGACGAATAGGAAAAATTACATGCATATGTTTCTTCTCGTATGATTGTATCAATTTTAATCGATTGGCTGGTTAAATCTTTTGCTCTGTTTTCAATGTAAAATTAATTTTTCAGATTATTAATAATAATAACCGGAAACACCCGATATAATTTATTTTATTACTATTGTATTATTATTAATTTTACAACATATTTTTAATAATAAATAAACACACAGAATGAAAACGTAAACGCAAAAGTATACTGTATCGTTATTCTTTGTCTTTTATCTGTGAATTAAATTTTTTATAAAGCAAAAGAAATGATAATAGTTAAACGAATTTATATGTGTAAAAATGATAGAGAATGATGTTGGATAGAATAAAATCCTTGAATTGGATATTTCTTAGAACACATTTTAGCTTGGCTCAAGAAACGTGATCCTGAGATTTGAGATAATATTCTCCAGTCACGCCATTTCATCAACTGCAATCGTCATAATCCTAAACTCTAGAAAATTTATAAAAAATAACCACAGATTGATTTTTTTTTTTTTGAACAACAAACGCTTGTCTTTTTCTCAAAATAAGTAAGAGGAATTTTTCTTAGATTTGAGATCAGAGAGATTGTCAGAATGGGACAGTATTTTTAAAAATAATTCAATTCTTCCTCTAACGAATTCCTATACGATGCGAATATACGATGTCACATTATCCCCACTGCCACTGTTAGATTTGGGCACAGCAATACCACGTGACACGTTTGACTTTGGCGAAAGCCTGATCACGTGATTTACCTTTGCTAGTGCAACAGCAGTGGGGATAATATGACGACACATCTCCTGGAGGAAATTTACCAGAGGAGAATTGAACTGTTTCTATTCAACAATTCTGTTTGGAACATAATCAAAAGACTGGGTCCGCAATATTATTATTAGCTGCTTATGCACCATATCGGAGAATCTACAAAATGAAAAGAAGAGTTTCAAAAGTACGAATCAAGAAAGAAGTGAGAATTTTTCAGTACAGAAATGTTGAATTAAAACTATTCTAAACACAGAATTATTTTTCTAACTAATTGAATCGTACTGAACTATTTAAACTGAATTTTATATTTAAATTTTGTACTTATAACGAAACAATTTTACTACTAAATAATCTTGCTCTTCGAATGAGCAAGATTAGACTTTTACTAATATTTAAAAAATAAAGAACGCCATAAAATACGTAGTAATTTAAATTCATGCTATATTATCGCTTATTTTTTCTAAGATAACACGTTAAAAACTGATAAAAGTTAAAGGATAAAATCTAGAAATTAATAGTTTAAAAATATCAAAAATTTTAAAGCTAAGTTAATCGTGACGAGAAATGAAAAGTTTCCCAAATAAATTTTAAATAACACGAAACGTATCAAAATTAAATATGTAATTGCGTGAAGGCACAAGTTGATCAGACACAACTCGATCGTTCAATATCGATAATCGGGCTCGTTACGAGTCGCGTATTGCTCTTAACGAGGCGCTAATCGCGTAACCGATTTCGAGATAGCAGTATAGATCGAACAGCGAGCGCAGCTCAATGACCACTCAACTCAATAACACGTTCTCTCGTGCCCTGGGGACTGGAACAGTGTTTAGCAATGTTTCAATTCCTATATTGTTCGCTAGTGACCGGTGAATCCGTTTCCTTTGCTTTCGGCTCCAGGAATCGAATTGCACGCATACACACTTTCACGAAATCTACGATTATACGATTAATAGAAGATTCGATGTTCGAATAGGGATAAAGCTACATTTTGAATTTTGTTCGATTGTAGGCGTTGTAGATTTACTATATTTAATATAATAGTTATATAATAGTTTATGTAATAATTTGTATACAGATTTATATTTATATTATTACAATATGGCGTCGATATCGTAGGAAAAAGTTTTCGAGCGTAACGTAATCGTAGGAAATTGATTAAAAATAATTGTAATTTTTGAAATGTAAAATGATGTGGTTTGATAAATATAAAACGTGTTGAAAAATCGATATAATATAGAATAAATATGTATGTAGAAAAATAACTTAAATTTTTTAAAGAAAATAACTTTGATAACACAATGATGAAAACATTTGAACATGATAAGATTATACAAATATTAGAAAGAAAATATTATTTTAAAAAAATAATAATTCATTTCTCTTTACGAATTCACAATAACTAAAATTTTTTCCGAAACTTTTCCTTCCAATTAGAAAAATTATCAATTACCAATTATTAATACTATGTGTATTATTTTCACGACTAATTTAAAATAAAAAAAAAATCACGAGTTCGTCGACAAAAGTTTTGTTTTAAATATATTTCAAAGTAATTGTATGTAATCTTCTTGTGTTCAGTTAGACAATATCTATTATCTAAATACGTGTAACGATTATATGTATGAAAAAAAGGAAATCGTTTAAAATATTTATTTATATAACATACAAATCATTGAATACAACAACAATTTTTATCCAAGCATTTCAATCACCTATACGTCGTTTTATTTTCGAAAAATTTTCCAAAAGATTCCAAGCTCTTTAGAGATAAATTTAAGTATAATGATATCGGTTCATTTGTTATACATTTTGAGTGGCAGTTTTATCTGTTTATAAACAATTGATAAGTGACAGTTATATATTGATGCGCATATTACATGAAGTTCCATATATCGAAATAGTTAAGCATATATTATATACATACATGTGTAAGACAAAGTTATTCGAAGTATCGATTTCTATAAGATTTATTCGAAAACCATTGAAATCAATGACATGGAATTCTTTTTATAAAATTAATTCTTAAAAGTTAACAATGTTTTTAATGAATTTCATATTACGTTTGATTTATTGAAACTATTTTAAAAATATATAATTATATATAATTGTTAATATTAAATTAAGGAATATTTTCTTTTTTTTTCTTTTTCTTTTCTAATGAACTTTTACAAATACCAATTTTCAGAGTCAACTTTAAGAACGTAAATTCACTCTTTTGAAAGAAGAGAAAAATTACTTTCTAGAAATATAGTTAAAAACCTAATTAATTTAGTTCTCTAATCCTTTCTGTAATACGCGGACTGAGGCATTAAGAACTGGTTTTATGAATTTCATAAATTACAGCAACCTTTTCTTTTTTTCTAATTTCTTAGCTTTTCATTCTGTATTACAAAATTCTGTCAATGAAATTTACATAGAAATTTTTACAAATTTCATTCATAAAATAAAACTTTTTGTATTAAAATTTTATATTAAAACCCTTTAAAAGTTCGTTTCTACGCAATTTATTGGATTTTATCAAACTTATTTAATGAATTTAGATGAATAAAAAAGAAAAAATAAAATTATGTTTTTACGATATTGTAAGATTACAAAATGTGTACAGCATTTTTGTCTGGAAAGCAAAAAACATAATATAAAACAAGAAACAAGATACATACATATATATATACACACACAATAAAAAAACTAATATTTTTTTTTAAAATAATATCAAATATCAAACTCAAATCAAAATCAAAATAAACGTAAAATTTTGGCAATTTCTCAATATAATTCTTCACTTCTAAGTAAAACTTTATTATGTATTAATCATAATATATTACAAATTTTATATTGAATCTATCACATCAAAGAATTATTTCAATAAGTGCCTTATATATATAGCCCTGTTTAATCTACCTTATTTTCAATATAATGAAATTTAAATAGTAGAATAATTTTAGAAACAATTTTAGAACAATTAATAGAATAATTTTGCCAAAAGAAATAGTTGAATTAATTCTATTATTTGTAAATGGAATGGAACTTAATTCAATGTGAACGAGATCTTACACAATTATTTTGAATTATGAACTGAGAATCATTCCACTTATGAATATCTTTATGTATATTCTTTACAGTACAATTAGAAATATACAAAATAAATATAAAATTCATTCATTCGGCAAAGAAAATTATGTTTTTAAATTTATATAATATTTGATGTGAAATCCTTTTATGTGAACGTGAACTTCTATCAATAGGACGAAAAATTATAATTGATGGACATTTTTATCGTATGAACAACTTGGTAATTTTTATTATATGAACATGTTGTTTGTTCTCCGACAAGTGAAATTCTACTGCATCAGATATTCTTCGTATTCATTCATTCGCAGAATGCCCATTGAGAAGTTGAAAATGAATAGAAAAATGTAAAGAATAAAAACTTCTTCAAGCTTGCTTATTAAATGCACAAGAAAATGTATTAATAAATAAAATTCGTTGTAACTCGAAAACAAAGTCAAAAAACATGTTTATATGAATTTTTTTTATATTTTTGTATATTTATTTATTATAAATTTTATCTTCATGTATAAATTCCTCCAACGGAACAACACTTTGTGCACCAAGATGATAAAAATATTCAATGCTTAAATATTGGAAATACGTGTAAAAACTTGAAATTTCAATTTAAATTTCACGCATATATTTTCACTAATCTGAATAATCAACATATTAATTATAAATTTCTATTTAGTTTAACTAATAATTCCAGTTTATTTAAATAAAATCGAATCTGGATAATTTGAATCCGAAGGGAAGAGATAAATTCTTCGAAATATAAAAGTTATCAAAATTTTCAAGTAAAAAAGCTTTTTAAACGAATGAAAATTCAAAATTTAGAATAAAGGAATAATTTTATTTAGTTATAATAAATAAATAAAAAAATTAAAAGAAAACTCAATTTTTCAATGTGAATTACACATTGTTACACAAATGTATAAACATAATCGTACGATTGACTTGAAAAACGATTAACTTTCGTAGATATACACATATAATTGAAACCGAAGATATATCATTTATATCATCTTATATTTTATTGAGATAAAAAAAAGAAAAAAAAACTTAGAATCTTATAAAATTCGTAAACATCATGTAAAATCACATCCGATTCGCTCTCTAAAATCGTCTAGAAACCATAATTGCATCGGTATGGGATAACGACAAGTATAACGTAGTTATACAACTTACCGTCTTGATAAGGGCCATCTTGACACAGCTCCATGACTACCTTGTTGGTGCCCACGTATAACGAGTTGAAGTGCTCCCTTTGTTTCTCTTCCATGCAGTCGAACGTGTACGTCTGGATGCACTTCATGCCAGCCTCGAAGTCTCTGCAACAAACAAACAGAACAAAAAAATAAATATAATAACAAAATATAATGGATATGGAATAGTGCAGATGTTTTAAAACGGAAATATTTAAATATGCGATATATCGAAAAAATTTCAACAAATTTTGCAATGATATATTATCACGAATAACGAGCACGATTAATCAATAAGAATATCTCAATTTGATACAATTTTATTTCGTTTCGTAGCGAAATAGATCTGTAAGGTGAAAGAGTGACTCGTTCATTCGTAACTTTCGAAGTTTCAACGAGGACTGATTATAAACAAATATTGCTACGAGGAACTTGTATCGTTCGAGTTTCGAATTAATATTCAATTTAAGGAGATAATTCGAAAAATTTTTTTATGGATTATTTGTGGAGAAATTTGTGGATTTATTAAGATTTAGCAATAAATGTGATTAATTGTATTAACAATTAGATATATTTAAATATTAAAAATATATTAGTTTATATTATTATTAAACTATTTTATTTTATATAGGAATGTTTCGTTTTTTATTGAAATTCATTTGTTTGAACGAATGAATGGTTGAATATTAAAAAATTATCGTTATAGTTTTAATTATCTTTACAATAATAGATCTTTTTTTCTTAAATCTTCTTAAACTATACAAAGTTTTGGAAAAATTGAATAAAAAATTAAGTTAATTATGTTTCAGAGGTCGCTTTTCATAAATTTAAGATGCGGTGCAAAAATAAAACTTATTTAATAAGATGAGAGCATAAGATTCTAAGAGGATTTTCTTAATACGGAAAGTACTTTTTCTTATTCTTAATTAAAGAAAAATCTTAAAGGAAAGGACTAAAAAAAAAAAAAAAAAAGGAAATTCTTTAATAACGATCAACATTATCGGTTTTACTTCTCATTGAAACAGAATATTGTACGTCAACTTGTTGTAAACTTTAAATTGCATATTCGTGTCTTTTCACGGAACAGAAATTTCGAACATAGATTAAGATATAAACTTAATATCTCTGTAACTTACTTGAATAAGAAAACAATTCGAAACAAAATAATCAAACACATTTTAAAAAATACAAGAGATTTATATTATATTTAAACTTGATGTTTTTAAACAATATTTATAAAGTATATCGCAAATAACAATTTACCGAGATAATAGAAAAGTCTAAGATAATGGAAAAGAGACATATATACAATAAGTTAAAGGAAAGTAAATTGAAGGAAACTTTATATCCTTCTTGATATGATACGTGTGTTTATTTTCAAAAAATTGATTGCAATAGATAATAAAATCGTTAAATAAATTTAGTAAACTAAATAATTTAACAATAGACAATAGATTCTACACATATTCATGTACATATGATATATTCAAATTAAATGATATACAATTATAGAGGATGATGCTAGGAAAAAATAAATCGAAAAAAATTTTTTAATTCAAGACTTCGTTCTCGAGCCAAAATTTTCTAAAACTAGTGCAAACCAACTATCTAAGTTGATTAAATAAACGCTAAAAAGCTTGAATTTGACCTTCTTAATAGGAATAATTACTCTGAATGAGTGAAGATAAGCAAAAAATATAAAATAAGATTCTATTGCTTATTTCTTTTTTTCTTTTGAGAAAAGTGAAAAATTCTTCATATTTTTAATTTTTAATAAAACAAAAAATACAGAATAATCGTTTATTGATAGTTCAGTTATATTTAATCAAGAAATACTTTTGTACGTATATGTACATACATGTATCATAGAATGTTGTTAAAATTAAAAAACGAAATTAACAGAAACGGCACGTATCTATTTTCGAAAAATAATAATGGAAATTTTTCGAACATTTAAAGTATTACGAATAATTACGAGAAATAATTCAAAACGACTTACTGGAGAAATCACAACGTGACAATTCCATTATTAACGACACTGGGAACAATGAAGAAAGAAGAAGGAGAGAGAGAGGAGGGGAGAGAGAGAGAGGAGGAAGAAAGAAAAAGAAAGTAATT